CGACAGCTGTAATCACTGGTCCACCATGCAGCTCACAGAGAATTTTACATTTTAAAAATAAATACAAAAATTAAAAACGCATATTTAAACAGTAGTCCCTCATTTATCGTGGAGGATCCGTACCCTGAAGCCCCGCGATAAGTGAAAAACGCAAAGTAGGAATAGTAGTACAAGTAGTAGTTATGTATATATATATATATATATATATATATATATATCACACATTCTTGCAGTATTCTAACCAATCAGCTCCCTGCCTCCGGCTGCACTCTTGGTCACGACCACTTCTGTGCTCTGCACAGAGATCAGTTGATCAGCTGCAGGAGGAAGCTTATCCTGCAGCTCTGGGCTGCACAAAGGCGCAGCAGGTGCTAAATAATTTAAAATAATTTATTTTAAGTAAAAATTCCATGTCGATCATCCATCAACCGGCCAATTGTGTGTCTCGTTATTTTGAAAAACTGCGATATGAGCAAATCCGAAAAAAAAAAAAAAGAAGCGTGAAGTAGCGAGGGACTTCTGTATACATTTTAAAAACATCATTTGTTTTGTCTCAACATTTACACTGAATGCAGGCGATGATGTAATTGTCCGCGTTCCTCACAAAATACCTCCTGAACCACAGGACAGGTTTTAATGAAACTTTCAGGAACTAATCACTGGATGCACATCTGCAACAGAATAACTTGATTCAACAAGGTTAAACTTTAGCAAACACAAATATAACCATACCTAAATCAACTGAGGAGATATTGAACTAAAATTTGGTGTGGTAGTAGATGAGAGTCATCCCCAACTGATCCTCTGAGCTCCACCAACTCGTACAAAACGTTTGATTAAATATTGACATTCATGTCCACAGGTGATTTGCATTCATGTAAGAAATGTTTTTTGATTTATACTTGAGCTAAATCTTTTTTTTCCTAAAGCTGACCAAGAACTGACTGAAAATAAATGTTTTGTTGAAAGAAATATTTAAGACTAAAGTTGAACTGAAACCAAGTCGGACGTTTGTCGCTTCTTAAACAAGTTCCTCATCAATATTCAGGTGCAATGAGTGAAATTAATTACGTTTTCATTTAAAAGAGCTTTTACAAACAAACCCGGTTTCATGTCTGCCATTATTGTGCAAAGATATTACTCGTAGCATTTGTTGACGTATAGCTTCATCTGGACCATTTTCCCAAACAGCGCTGGATGAGATGATTAAAAAGTGTTTCTGTTTGCAGACGTTTGAGCTCCATGTTGAAAATCTGCTGAATTAGTTAGAGCAGCTTGTCAGATTTAAATAAAAAGAGCAGCTCAGCTCTGGGGGAGCGTGTGTGAGGAGCTTGGGCCCGTCAGTATTTACATACAGCCATCCGTCTTATAAATCTTAAGCAACAAAGACAGAAAGTGAAATGCACATTTCCCTCAGCTGGCCCAAGAAAACCCTCACGAGGGTGAAACATATTTAGTCTCTGTGAACAACCAGCATGAAAGTCCGTCTCCAGTGCAAATCCTGAAGGGCATGTGACTGAAATGCAAAAGAGAAAGAGGAATAATTCAATATTTTCTGGCAACACAAAGCCTGTTTACTCACACTTTATTACAGTTTGGGTCTGGGATGAATACAGCTCAGTGTTAAATCATTAAAATAAATGAAGCGGTTGAAGATGTAGGAAAGAAGGTGTTTTTGCTGGAAACTGACTCTCCGGGCTGTAAATGCATCACTGCTGCTGTTTGCTCCACCTGCTGCAACAGAACCATGAATTGAAACAGACGGGTGTTCCCGTCTCTCTGCAGGCGGTTTATGTAAACAAAACAGGCGTTCACTTCCTCTGGATGGCGTTAATTTATCCTCCACTTCTAATGTAAAAGAACATCTGTTATTTTTGATCAGGATATGTCTTTTAACCACCACATTTAAAAAGTTACCAGGACTGCTTTCCTCCACCTTCTTAAAACTTCTTTAAAACGTCTTCAGTTGATCCCAAATGCTGCCGCCAGAGTCCTAACTATAGATTTAGTAAATTCTTGAGCACTAGAGCCACCTGCACGTGACCTCTACTTGCATCAGAAAACATGGGACACTCAGAGGTTCAGGTGTAAAACCCACGCTGATGAAAAAGAATAGGACTTAACAAGAGTACCGCACATGGCACATTAGACACCCGTCTAAAAAACTATTATACAGCAGTCCATAGCCATGGCCCGGACAAGCAAGGACTTTGTATAACCTTTGACCCTGACCTTAGAGCTGGGTTGATGAAAGGATTTTGTAACACACTGTCTAATGGGGGCACATATGTGCATCGAGTTTCATTAAATTATCTTGAATTACCTTATAAGAAGTCATGGGCAAGACAAGTTTACAGACGTACAGACAAAGACTAAACCACAATATGTCCACCTTTAAACGGGCGTATAGTGAAAACTGGTCCAAATTTTCATTTCGCATGTGAACTCCAGTGGATACGTAGGAGAGGTTGCAAAGTGGGTACAATGCAGGCCAAGGCGGGTACGATGCGGGCAGCAAAATAATGTGCACAGCCTAGAATACAGTTTTGCAAACCATATACATAAACGTGAAAGTCCATGATCAATAATCCAGGTAAAAAAAAAAAAATCCAACAAAGTTAAGTCAGGTCCTCCTGACCTGTTCTGAACCACTTTGGCCATGGCTGCCTCAAACGAGTCGACAGGGGAGAGAGTGGACTCCAGAGACATTAAACTGGTCGGCCCACTATGTGAGTGTGCTACTTGTGGGACTGAGTTTGTTGTGGCTCCTCGAACTGATGAAGTCTTTTGGATGACAGATGAAACGTCTCAACAAAAAGAAACTGTCCAGAGGACCTGACTCAACTTTGTTGCATGTACATAAAAGTACTTCATTACTTTCAGAAACTGGTTACTCAGAACGTAACTACTTGGATCACTGCTTTCAAACATTTAGAAATGAGTGAGACCGTCTAATTAAAGTCAAAGTTTCTTTATTTGTCGTTGGTGGAATGAAATTGTGTACACAGGGTCCCAGTTACATCCAACAAAAGTATAAATTGTAAAGAAAAACAGTAATAAGATCTGATACAAACCAAGAAATATGCTAAACTAAAAATACACTAAGCACTGGTAGTACAAAAACAATACACCAAACAGCAGAACGAACATGAGTCTGTGTGAGCTGATGAGTACAAATGAACACAGCAGCATGAAATAAATCAGCAGTATAAGATCAGTAACATGAATAATCAGCAGCATGTTATAATCAAGTGGCATCATAGTGATTATTCTGGTTAGGGATTCATGAGTCTAACAGCCTCAGGGTAGAAGCTGTTCCTCAGTCTAGTGGTTCTACACTTATTGCTCCTCAACCTCCTTCCTGAGGGGAGTGGGGCAAAAAGTGTGTGTGCTGGGTGAGTGTGGTCCTTCATGATGCAGGTGGCCCTCTTCCTGCATCCAGAGGTGTAGAGGTCTGTGATGGTGGGGAGGCTGACTCCAACATCTTCTGGGCAGCCTTCACTACTCTCTGCAAAGCTTTTCTATTTATTTGCTATGTTGAGTTTCCAACAGTCTCAGGCCTGCGAGATCCTTTAGTCCTACTTTATCACGTAGCAACAACAGTGTCAAATGATGAACACATGAAATATTAGGTCATGCCAAAAATATAAAACGTCTCTGGGTGGAAATACATTTGTACGTAGGAAAATTTGATCTACAATCTGTCAAGTGTTTTCAAACGTATCACCAATAAACAGAGCTCTAGAATGACCAAACTGAGAAGGGTTTGAGATGGTTTGGTTCCAGACACTCGTGACGCTCCGTGGTTATTTGGAGAAAATTTTGTTTTGGAACATGTGAAACCTAAACGAGGCGGTGTGATGGTGGGGTGGCTGAGTGGTTAGCGCAGTCGTCCTCCAGTGCAAGAGCTGGGGGTTCGATTCCACCAGCAATCACATGCCGAAGTGTCCCTGGGCACTGAACCACTCATCGCCTCCGATGTGTGTCCCATCAGTGAATGAATGTGATAAAGCTCTGATTATTTTTTTGTAAATATCTAGTAGAGAGCTGCATGAACGGGTAAATGAGGCACAGATTGTGTTGTAAAGAGCTTCGAGTGTCTTGATAAGACAGAAAAATGTTATAGAAGTGCAGTTCATTTAAACAATCACAAATGCGTTGCTCGTTCCAAGAGTTTGGAGACATGAGAGAGGAAAACAGCTGCCTGGAGTTGAGTCTGGTGCTGGCTCAAGTTCAGACTGCAACTTTTTTAACTAATAATTGCATCAATTTAAAATAAATCTGTTTATGCTACTAATTTACTGTGGAGAAGGTGGTCTTGGATAATGCGTGGTTTAAAGCCAGCGTAGCAGCTTTGTCTGTTAATGTGGGATTTAAGGTTCAAGTCTGATCTTGTACAAACTTGTGTAAAAAGTTGTTTAACAGTTGCATCTTTTGTCATATTTATAGAAACGCTGGTAAATTGCTAGACACTACAGGAGCAATACAGGATTAAATATTTAATCCAAAAACCTTTTAATAAAAGAAGAACACTATCTGAAAACAACATGCTGAATGTTTTAGGAATTACTGGATTAAAAGCAGATTTTATAGATTAATAAAAGAGCATAGAGACAAAATGTGTGGCTCAGAAACTTTGAGGCAATTAGTTAAAAAAAACAAAAAAACATTTTCACCAAAATTATCTCAACATGAAAAAAATAAAGGAAAATGAAAAGACCGAATCGAATTTAAAAGTGGAACCTTAAATTATTCTCTAAACAGTCTGTAAAAGTAACACTGCTGCCTCACATGAGAGTTTACAGAATACATATTACATGTTATATGGCAAAGATTTAGTCACTTTTTCCATAAAATCAACATTTCTAACTGAAAAACTAAAAGTATCAGTTACAACAGTTTAATTTTTAACAACCTTTAATATGAAAAAACAAACTTTTAATAACCATCACTCTCGTGTTTCTTTTCGACCACATCCTCCCGTCTCCTCTTCTTTCCAGTCTCGTCAGACGCCCGAAGGCGAGTTCCTGCCTCTGGACCAGTGCGAGTTGGACGTGGGTTTTGGGACGGGTGCAGACCAGCTGTTCCTGGTGTCGCCGCTCACCATTTGCCACGAGATTAATCCCAAGAGCCCGTTTTTCGACTTGTCGCAGCGCTCCCTCTCCAACGAACAGTTTGAGATCGTCGTCATCCTCGAGGGAATTGTGGAGACGACGGGTGAGAAAATCTGTTCGCGTCACATCTTACTGCTCGCCACATTCCCTTCCTGTTCTCATTTCTTATTCTGTACGTATGAACATGGGTCCGTTTACAGCAGAACTCATAATCAGAACTCTGGAATCTAATTCTCCTTCTTTCCCCATTTGGATATTTAAATCGGATGGAAAACAGAACACACGTGAATGGTTCCCTGATTGAATTATGAGGAATATTTTATTCCTCCACAATCAGTTTATGCCCACTCTATGCATAATAAAAACCTGTGGTCATAGAAGTGCCACCATGATGAATGAGCCCAGGTTTCAGTAGCTCTGCAGCATTTCTCTGATGCCAAACGACAAACTACTTCCCAATCTCCCCGTCGCATATTTAACCGAATGACTCTTCCGTAAGTCCAAACAAATATCCTCACTTTGTCTTCAGCTCTGCCACTGTTGCACGAGGAATCGCAGAATGGAATAAACTCAGGAGGAAGGGATCAGCAGGAGAGCGGAGAGGTGGGCAGGCGGCCCAGTTTCTGCTCTGCTGCTAATACGGCTAATCTGTGCGAAGCCCGAAGTTTAACATCGCGGAGGGGAAAATCCTCTTGTTCTTTCAAGAGAACTTTTTACAAACAGCTATAACAACAGTTCACTGATGAAAAGGAGATAAAAATAAATGCGAGGAATAATAGTTCGATGTTGAGCGGAACAGACGAGATAACGACTCATAAAACAATGAGAGAGACAACAGACACATATGGAGGTCTGTTGGCGCTGTCCACATGGAAACGGCGTTTTGTGAAGACGCAAACATATTTTATTGTTTCAGTCTTACATCTACACAGAAATAGTGTTTTTAGGAGCCCCCAAAATGTTTTTTTTTTTTTTAACAAGTTCCAGAGTTAAAACAATCTTGCAATAAAGTTGCAGGTTTTTGTGTGAACAGTCAAAATGCAACACGTTGAAAATGTCTGTCACGGTTTGTAGACTTTGGACCCAGGTACGCAGACAAATACCAAGAGCTCAGAGAAAAACTCAAAACTTTAAAAAGGGAAAACAAACCGCGGCAGCAACAACAGAAACCAGGAGAAAAACCATGACACGGAGGAGAACCGGACATGGAGTAAAGGTCCACGATGTCAGACTGAAGAGGACCGAGATCTAAGAGTCTGTATGGACGGGGGCCGGTGAGCAGGGTGGAGACAGCTGGGCTTAATGATACCTGGGAACAGGTGAGAGTGGGCGAGGCAGGAGCTGAGGAGCACAAGCTGACTGAGGAAAAGTGATGACAGAGAAAAACACACACACAGAAATAAATACATTAATAATAAACATTGACCATAAAAGGAGAAACCTAATTAAAAAAAAACTTAGCCCCACCTTTGAGCTAACCTACGATCTAAGCTCGTCAGACGTAACAACAATGGCAGACTCCATGCTTGTGTTTGTGCTGCAGAACCTTCAGAACCAAGACGCTCAACAACAAAACCGTTGTTTAACACAAACTTCAGACTCGACTCCCAACAAAGACGAACTAGAAGGGTGAGAAAACCTTTTAGGTGTTTCTGTGCGGATGAAGACATTTCTAGAAGCGGTGGTTTACGAGGATATTTTTAGAAACGACAAAAGATAGTTTTGGAGAACCAGTGTTCCCATCGGGACAAGGCTTTCTGTTTGCTTTTAACCGCCTGAACAGCAAAAAAAGACTTCTGATTTTTCTGATTCAACAATTTTCAGTCAGGTCATCTGCACAGTTCCGTTCTTTTTTTTTTTCTGAAACGTTTCCCCTTCCATCCAGAAGGCTTCATCAGTCAAGGAAACACACAACACAAAACTGATTCATCCCCCAAACAGCTTACTCCAAAGTGGAACAAACCAGTTACGTTGTTTTTCTGATTCTCCAGCAAAACACAAATCTACTAATGTTTTATTTTTCTTCCTTTCAAACCAAAGCACATCGATTAAATACACTAATTTGGGCAAATCAAAGTGAAATTATTATTACTAATTAAATATGCTCTGTGATAAATGTCAGTCTTTGACTCTTGGGCTTAGCCTGATATCAAACGGAGTTTTAAACGTATTAAATGTGTTTATGTTGGAGCGGATGGAGCAAACTAAAAACGATTTATGCGTTATCAGGTTATAGTAAAAAGGAAGTAAAGTACTCCCTCGCTACTTCACGGTTCGTTTTTCGTGGACTCTTGCTATTGCGATTTTTCAAAATGAGATTGGACATGACACACTTGGCTGATTGATGGATGAGCCGCACGATTGGCGTAATTTTTTTTAATTTAAAATAAATAATTTAAAATAATTTAGCACCTGCTGCACCTGTGTGCAGCCCATACTGCAGGATAAGCTTCTGCCTGCAGCTGATCAGCTGTTCCCCAAGCAGAGTGGAGCAATGGGCGTGGTCGAGAGCACTTGCAGGTGGCAAAGAGCTGAAATCATGACTTTTAATTCAATTCAGTTTATTTATGTAGCACCAAATCACAACAAAGTTGTCTCAGGGCACTTTACAGGAACATTCACAGAAAAGCCAATTAGTAAAGTTCTCTATCTAAGGAATCCAGCAGACAAGTTGAATCTTGGCTTCATTGCAGTCTCCCATCCTGAGCAAGCACAGTGGAGACAGTGGGAAGAAAAACTCCCTTTTTAAAAGGAAGAAACCTCCAGCAGAACCAGGCTCAGGACAAGCAGTCATCTGCTTTGACCGGCTGGTTTGAGAGCTTTTAGAGTTTAGAAACATTGTTTGGAATATTGCAAGAGTGTGACAAGGGTTTAAAATGCTTTATTTTAGTATATATATATATATATATATATATATATATATACTAAAATAAACTACTACTTACTACTTGTACTGCTATTCTTACTTTGCAGTTTTTCATTTATCGCGGGACTTCAGGGTACGGATCCCCAGCGATAAATGAGGGACTAGTGTATACATAAAATTATTCAACATTAGCTCTTACAATAAGGTAATCTTAATCTTGTAAACATTAAACGTTTTAAAACTTCCTTCATTCTACATTTTTTATGCACACATATGAAGATATCAAAATCAGCAACACCTAAATGAACCAGTTTGTGTTCAAACTGAGGCTTTAATTGTCACCGAGCTCCTGAAACCTGGACTCGCAGCATCGTGTGGATCTGTCCTTCCATCGCTGAGCGTCCATCACTAACATCCTGTTAACAGAGCCAGTGACAGCTGCTGACAGAAAGTTTATAGAAAACCTTCAGGGATGTCCTGCTTGCTGTCTGCCCAGTTTTTTTTTGTTTTTTTTTTATAGCTGAAGGCTTTTATTTTTATTCAGGATGCTGTGAACATTATCCGGGTGGGTGGATACTCACACAATGCCTAAAAGATGAAACTAAAATGGCATGCCTGTCAAGCCAAGAGCCCACAATTGTTCCGTTCACTGGTGCTGCTGTTGTCCTGTGTCAGCAGTCAGAGGAAACAGCCTTTCTTCTGGTAAACCAAGAAAATCGAGCTGGAAAGTTAACCTCCACTCACTGTTGTAATTACAGCCAAGGCTTTGGGCTGAATTAGCATCAACATGATGCCGGGCTGTTACTTTCAGTGGACGGAGATGTGTAGAGATCTTGGAATAGCATCAGGCTCTGACATAACTCTGCACAAATCATCCCTGAGAGGCGCGCGATCAGACTCCCACTCTTCTGTTAAAACCACTGAGCTTATCAAAAGCTCAGGTTGGAGCAAAACGACAGGCTCAGGAAAATACTGACTAAGTTTATTAGGAGCCAAACTGGGACATTTTCAGTTGTGAAGACATTTATTTTATTAAAGTACAAAAAAAAAAAAAAAAAAAAAAAACGATATATTGAATCGCTAACGGTTGTAATTATTGAACAACATTATGTGATGAGATCACAAATTCTTAATGTTAAAATAGATGCTTAAAAACTCAAAACTTAAAATACCTCATCCAGCTGTTTTTTTTTTACAAAAATATAATGACTAATACCACTGCTACTGAAATGGTTTCACATATCAATAGATCTTTTTTTATAAATTGAGAAAGCCTTTACATTTCTGTTTAAATTTCTAATACCGTATTTTTCGGCCTATAAGTTGCATTTTTTTTTGCCCTGCGAATTATACGCCAAAGCGACTTAGTTATGGATTTTTTTCCCATATTTTTGAACCAATTTTTGTCTGAGATGTGATTGTTTTCATTCATTCTGACTGAAAATATAGAACATTACCATTTCCAGCCACTAGATGGCACTCGAGTAGTATGGCATGCTGTCGTGTCATGTAATAGGTAAAAGTAGCTATTAATGACACGGCCGGCTTGCCACAGCCTGCCACCTTCGTCCAGCTCACCTGGAGCAACCGTCAAATCAGCTTCATTTCGCTGCGCCGCCCCGGAGAAATGCAGCTGATTTGACCATTGAAGTGCATTTATCAAGTAAAAGTTCAACTGAGACACACCTTTACTATAATTTCGAGTCAACAAAAAATTATTTTTAAGTGTTCATCTTGTTAAATTCTTGTTAAAGTCCTCCTGTGCACGCTCCCGCCGTTTGGAAGCCAATCGATTTTTGGCACAACACCGGCCCACATTTCGGGGTTGTCAGCGGTGACGCGTAATAGATGTGACTTGTACGTCAAAGCAACATATTTATGGATTTTTCCACTTTATTAGACATATTTGGACAGATGCGACTTATAGGGCGGTGCGACGTGTACGGCGGAAAATATGGTTTTGACTAAATTGAACCAAATGATAACGTCTTAATGATGCTTTCCTTTAAAATAATGGGTAAAATATAATAGGAGGGAACGATGTGATTTTGTTTTCCTCCATACCAGTCAGAACTGCTGTTTTCACCTCATTTGATGGTGATTATTAAAACTGCTGGGTTCCTGTCACTCTGTAGGTATGACGTGCCAGGCACGGACATCGTACACCGAGGATGAGGTTTTATGGGGCCATCGTTTCCTGCCTGTCATGTCCCTGGAGGAAGGCTTTTTCAGGGTGGACTACTCCCAGTTCCACAGCACGTTTGAGGTGCCGACACCCCCGTACAGCGTCAAAGAGCTGGAGGAGAAGAACTCATTGCCCTCACCTCTGTCCACCCCCACCCCTGCACTGACTGAGGGCCACGGTGCCCGGCGTAACCGGGTGTTTTCTGTGGATTGCATCAACACTTCAGAAGATAAAGGCCGTCAGGGAAGAACTGGAGGTCGACTGCCGAGCAAGCTGCAGAGGATGAGTTCATCCGGGAAGGAGGACCTGCAGAGGAAGGTGCTGCTGCTCAGCTCACAGCACTCGGAGAAGGCCTGCAGCACGGGGGACCTCCCCCTGAAGCTGCAGAGGCTCAGCTCCTCACCCAGTCCCGGGGCGCAGAACCGCCTGCAGCTCAAGTCCCTGAAGGTGGGCTTTGAGCCCATGACGCAGTCAACCGGAGACCTGTATCAGCGCAGCACGCCAACGACTACACCACCAACTCCGGTTCCTATGCACAGTCCTCTCCTTTCAGCCGGGGGGAGGCTGGAGGACAATCTTCCCCCCAAGCTTCGGAAAATGAATGCAGACCGCTAAAATCCAAACAAGGGACAAACACTCACACAAAGAGCCACATGTGGACAGTTTCAGGAACAAAGAAGAAACAAAACAAAAACAAAACAACAATTTTTTTTTCTTTCTTGGGAGAATTTTACTGGAATTACTGTGATTTTGTGTTTCATAGATGCATTCATGCAGACTTTAATAAACACAAAACACCAAGAAAACACAAAATGAACGCTTACTGTGAACTTCACCATCCTGCAAGAGTTGTGCATGTATTCACTAAATCTAATGTTTAACTTATGCACCACTGTACTCAAGTCAATCCTAGTTTTAATCTAAATATATAAATTATATTATAAAAATAAATACTGTTGGATTTTCCCTCTTCTGTTTCATTTGCTGCCAGTTTATCTTTCGTCTAGAAAAGTCCCTCTAGATGTCATTACGTGTAAAAACTGCACTTTTTTTTCTAAATCCATATTAATGACTTTATTCTCCCTGACAGTAACTTTGGCCTCTAAGTCCAAGACATTTCACTCTTAACTGGAAATGGGGAATGATTTGTCCAGGTTGGGGCGACTCCTGGCCTCTGGTGGAGGAGTTCAAGTAACTTGCTCCTGAGTGATGGTAGGATGGAGTTGAAGATGTATCGTCAGACAGGAGCCTCCTCGGTAATGAGGGCGTTGTTTCGGTCGGTTGTGGTGAAGAAAGAGTTGAGTCAAAAGGCCAAGCTCTTGATTTACTGGTCTATGTTCCAACTCTCACCTGTGGTCAGGAGGTTTGGATCATGACAGAAAGAACGAGCTTCCTTCGAAGGGTGGCCGGGCTCAGCGTTAGAAGCGGGGCGAGGAGCTCCATCTTCTGGGGGGAGCTCAGAGTAGAGCTGCTCCTCTGCATCGAAAATAGTCATTTGAGGTGGTTTGAGCAGATGATCAGGATGACTCCTCGATGCCTCTCTTTGGAGGTTTTGCAGTCATGTTCCAGTGGTGAGAGGGCCTGGAGAAGACACAGCTCACTGGAGCGATTGTGTATCCTCTATGGCCTGGGAATGACTTGGTACCCCCCAGGAGGAGCTGGAGACCATCATGGAGGAGAGGGAGGTCTGGGTTTCTCTCCTGGACCGGTTGCCTTCGTGACCTGACTAAGCAGTTTAAGATGGAGATGACAATGAGTTTAATACAAATCAAACTAAGCAAAATCAAATAACTCAGCAAGTTAAAGGTCCAACAATATTTGAAGGTTTACAATTTTAGACCAAGATCTTCTTATGCTGAAATGGAACAAAGTTAAAGCCCTTTTGGTCAAACTTGTAATAGATGTTAGGCACAATCTAATGCAACATATGACCATCTGTTAGTGCTTTGAGTTTGTGTTTTGAATGACTCCCAGCTACTACCAGACCATGTTTGAGTTTAATGTTTGTAGAGTTTCAGCTCGTTTGGTGTTGGTGTCACTGGTGGAGGCCATCTTGAATTGGGTTGACACCAAAAGCTATGAAGCTGTAGATGTTCATCTCTTCATTTCTCTGAGTTTCATTAGGATCTATGTTCATGAGATATTTTGCTAACAGACAGGCAAAGTTGGCTGTATTAGGTAATGGCAAACAAAAATAAAAATCTTGTACAATCAGTTAGTGCTCAGAGTAAGTGTTGGGGAGCAGTCTCAGCTACTACCACACAAAACTTTAGCTCACTATGTGGAAAATTTGCTAAATTATAACCTATTTTGTGCTTGCTAAGGTCACTTAGCTTTGGCGGCCATTTTGACTTAAACTTTCTGAGAGTGTCATCAAAATCCGTCCACTGGTTCATGAGATATTTTGCTAACACTACAAACGCATAGGAAAAGACATTACCTTTGGTGGGGGAGATGAACACAGTTGAAATCCTAGTATCCATTACTCACTTTCTTTCATTAACTTATGTAATTCTACAAATAGTTGTGTCTTTTTTATGAATTTATTATTAGATTTTCTTTGAGGTTTCAGTTTTTAATTGTTTTTCATAAAGTACAAATACTCAAAGAAGGAGAAAAGGTAATGAGAACTGCAGATGGGGGAAGAAATATTAAAAACGTGAGGTATGTTTTCAAAGAGTAGCGTAATTACAGTCAGCCTTTGGTTCCAGAAAGTGAAGCAACAAACTCAAACAAAGCGGCTGGAAGGAGATGCTCACAGTGTTCCTCCTCTTATCATGGCAGATTTTTTTATTTAATGGTTTATATCTTCCTTTTACAATAATATGTTGTTAAAATAGTGAGAAACAGAAGAAATGGGGTCAAAAGTGACCAAAATACAAACTGCACCAAGCTGAGTTGATATTAAAGCAGCTGCCGCATGGAGTCCGTGCAGCTGAAACAGCCCGAGCAGAAACTCAAAGACAAGAATATCAATGGGAGGGAGCGTGGCCTTCGTTTCACCAGTGCATCCAGAGAAGCCATGAACCCCTTTACCTAATGCACAGCTTCCAGCGCCCACTCATTCCAACCACAGCCGAAAAGTGTTTCCTACAGCCCACTCCTGATTTAGCTGCTAGTAGAGCCAAGCGTGTTTGCTCACTCTGCTCTCTTGGTTTAATGTTCAAGCTGTGTGTGATTCTCCAAACAGAGCCATTACAAGACAGAGAACCTCAGGAAGGCATGGAGACTGTGAGTGTAAAAGCCTGTACTTGTTGTCATCACGTTGTCCTGATGAGTCAATAATCAGTGGAGATGGATGAGCGCAGTTTGTACCGTTTTCATCTGGTCTATAATCACTTTTTAAACACCGCCAACAACCCATTGTTTACATTTCACTGATCTAAAGAACTATTTCATTTAAAATGTTTTGTTTATGTCAGTTTTCTCACAAATACGAGACACATTGAAGTCTGCAGAATACATATCGTGATAAGGCACATTTATTAGTGTTTTTAGTACATAACACTTCTGCAGACTTTGTGCTAATTTAACCAACCAGGTATCAAAACGTTCAGCTCGACCATGAGATGGGAGCGGTGACTTTTGGTTTTTGTAACCTTAATGCTTTTTTTTTTTTTTTTTAAATACAACTTTATTTACAATAATTTTGTCCAAAACAGTTCAACTCCTTCAAAGCATTGTTCTGTTTGAAATCTGCTTTAACATATGTGCTTTATTTTTTCTTACGCTACAATTAGCTTTGAGTGATTTGGCTACTTTTTGACAAGTCTTTTGCTACTTTTACCTTTTGAATTAGCTTTTAACTTATTTCTAGCGGTAATTTTATTTTATTTTTTCATTCAACCTTTAGTTATACAGGTTAGCCTCATTGAGCCACGAGGACTCATTTGCAAGAGGGACCTGTTCCAGACAGAATACATGTAAAGAACAGACAACAACAGTAAACAACAACAACAATAAACAATAGTAAGAATGCAATTAAAATAAGAGTAGTGCATAAAACAAATCAGGGTGCTGTAAAACAGGGTGAAATACTAAAAACAAGAACAATGTTGCTGCTTTTAGCCAACTCCTCGTATTTTTACTTAATATTTTGCTACTTTAAACTTTTAGCTAGCATTTATCTACTTTTAGTCATTAGCTAGCTTTTTGTTGTTTTTATCTAGTGTTTTGCTACATTTAGTTTGAAGCTAGCCTTTTGCTACATTCTGCTTAACAAAGCTTTCACTTCTTTTAGTCATTAGCTAGCATTTTGCTACTTTTGGCTGGCGTTTTACTTTGTTTAGCTTTAATTCTTTCTTTTCCTACTTTTGTTTCTTTGGCTAGCATTTAGCTACTTTTACTTCTTTTGATATTTATAGCATTGAGTAAGCCTTTTGCTACTTATCTAGCCAATAGTTCTAGCAAGATATTTGCTATTTTTAGCCAACTTTTGTTGCTTTTAGCTTTTATTTTAGCTCTCATTTGCCACTTTTAGCTAGCATTTTTCTACTTTTAGCATGTGCTTTGCTACTTTTGGCCTTTAGATTTTCCTTGCTCTTAGCTCGTGTTTTTCAACCTGTAGCTAGCTAGCATTTTGCTGCCATTAGCTCTGAGATAGCAACGAGGCTACATGAGGTAGCTTTATTTATCTGCATCAGCTCAGTTTCAGTCAGTGCTCAGCATTCTAGCTGCATTTTCACAAAAATGCAACTTTTATTTTAATTTTATTCTTTGATAAAACTGAACTTTTCTTGACAAACTAACTTCTATTAAAACATAGTTTTTTTAAAATCTCATAATTTTTGAATATAACTAATTTAAGCACCAAGTTAATAATAAGGATCATTAAATCTTTAATTTCCCACGCAGCAACTTTTTTGTTGTTTATCCCGTGTTCAGTCTTTGTGTTCAGATAAGTTGCGTCATGTTTTTTATATATGATGAAAACATGACGGCTCCAGTCAACAGTTCCAAGAACTGAGATGGGCTCAAAGTGGCGCCGTCGCCTCCTCGGTCCGCTTGAATCTGGACCATTTGGTGACTCCACCAGTGTCAAGAGGGTCGGCTGCTGTGTTTCGGCTGCAACGGCCTGGTGCTCATGTCTCCACAGTTAAAAATATCTGCACCATGAATACTTAATACCACGACAGGACATGGAGAGGATCATTAGGGCTACACCTCGCCGACTCTCTTGCTCTGTCCTGAAAGTCAAACTCACCGGCGTCGTGTGAATACCTGCTCCAAAACGAGAGCGTTAAAGACCTGAACAATAAAGAACCTCAAAAAAAAAAAAAAAAAATCTGTTTAAAAAACAGAAAATTAATTTTCCATCCTTTTCCATCGCATTGATTTGGGGATGTTTTGATGTAGAGCTGAATCATTGTAAACACACAATAAGCAGCGTCTTTGTGCTTCGCTGCTCCGACTGTGAATGTATGCTAATTAGGCCACTTGTGGTGTGTGAAAGGGAAACCAACTTACTGAAACACACACATCTGGAGACACATAAACACAGCCGCTGTCAATCAAAAACAGGCCACTTCTCTCCACTACCATCTCCACGGCAACATGAGATCATCTTTGCCCTGCAGCAGTGACAGATAAACACACACTGCGTTTGTGTTGGATCGTATAGTTCGCTCTCCTCTGCCCACTCTTTACAGCAATATC